CATTTTGTGGGTTCCTGCCTCGCCATGCTAAGCGATGAGCATGAGGGTTCCAACATTGATTCACGATTTGAATCATTGAACTGCCATTTCGCTATGTGGTGCCGTACGAACAAGAAATCCGTGCACATTCCTCGCGTAACAAAGGATACCGTACAGTGGGCCTCGCGATCAGAGTATCCCCAAGGGAACTGGTTCAAAGGCTCCGTTACGACTCTCTTCATGAATTACCTGGAGGACACTCTGAACTCTGCTTTGTTCGATGACAACCCCATGATCAAGAAAGCCGGTGAAGCCGCAAGTGCGATAAACTCGTGCCTCAAAGCCATGTACGAAGCTGAAGCATTCATTCAGCCACAGCAAGCAGAGGACATAGCCGAAAGAGGGTTACGCTTTTTGAGACGCTACTCGTGGCTTGCAAAGCAAGCTCAAGAAACATCTCAGTCTTTGTTTTTGCTAACGCCGAAGGCACACAGCCTTCACCACGTCATGCTCGATTTATTGGTCCCCGCAAAGCGGGGAGCCGCTCCCTTGAATCCCATCTGTTACTCATGTCAGATGGATGAAGATTTCCTGGGATACGCTGCTAGATTATCCCGTAGATGCGAGCCACGCAGGTGCTCGGAGCGTGTCATCCAAAGACACCTACAAGGATGCTACACGAAGTTTGTCAAGGCAAAGTACATCATTCCCCGCTGACTTATATAGGAACAATCCATAGCCCCCTTCAAATTGCCCTCCAGAATGGTGTACAACAGCTGAGTCTCTGGCTCAGCATGGACATGTCGAAGCTGATGCCCACCAAGAGCAGAAAGGCCGGCATGACACAGGTGCAACAGCGTTTGAAGCTCGTACCCAACCTTCCCTGAAACAATCCCGAAATCCTGAAATCCGAAAACCCGGTTTTCCGAATAATAGTTTGGTTTTGTCCCAGAACCTTGTTTTTATTGGGTGAAAGGGTCCATAGGTATGGTACATAGTCGTAGACATCTGTGTGGAAATATGTGCTTTGAGGCAAAGTTTAAGGTGGCAAGCCTCAGACTAAAGCGGTGCTCTACTCTATATGGGGAAGTCCTTATGTCAAAGGAGCCCGCTTGGTGTAAGCTCCCCTTCGGATTCCCCTGCAAGGATCACCTTGCCTCCAGTGAGGCCCATGTCGCCAACGCGGAGGTCCTCCTAACGTGGAAGAGACTTTGGGTGCAAACCCTGGCCGAATCACGACCGCGACTGCTGCCACTGCTGATACTACTGCGGCTACGACTGCAACAGTAGTAGTTGTGCCGTAGTTCTTCTGCGTCCTTAGGACCTATAATCACGAAAGTATGGACAATACCGCTACTGGTAGTACACAAGGCTCTGGATTGAGGGCTCTAACGCCTGCTCGCCAAGGTAGAGGAAGTAGTTGCCCTCGAACTTCTCTAGCAGGTCGTATCCTTTCAAATGCGCTAAAGGAATATATATATATATCTATCTATCTATTCATATATGTATGTGTATATATACATATTACAGGGGTTATATAGGGATCATACGCCCTTATTCTACTATAGTCCCTGCTTTAGTAGATAGAATATGGCGTTGGGTATATATTCTAATAAGTTCCCCATATTCCCCCATATTCTATCTACTTCAAGGGGACTATAACTCCCGGTACTGGCACACGGCTTTCGCTCAAGGTGTATCTGGCAATGCTGCAACTGGCAGCGGAGCAGGCTAATGGAGCGTTGGGATTCAGAACCGAGGGGTATAATATAGGGGTATAACATAGAGGTTATATAGGGATAATGGAAAAATGGAAACTACTTCTTTTATAATAGGGTTATATAGGGGGTGTATATAGGGATAATGGAAAAGAAAATGGAAACTACTTCTTTTATAACAGGACTATATAGGGGTGTAGTGTGGGGTTTCAGTTAGGGCTCCGGGGTGTAATGAGGCTTCACGACCCAAGGATGGGATGAAGCTGCTGAAAACTTTCGTATATGGACCCTCTCCTTGCGTCTATGTTGGACGAAGCAGAGACCCTCTCCTTGCGTCTATGTTGGACGAAGCAGAACCGAGGCCCCCAACTCCTGAATCTCCTGAACTACCATAGAAACCTACGTGCATGCCTCTTAAAAAAAACCGTTGAGCGGCCCCAAGCCCTAAATTGCTGGGGTGATAATTGTGAATAAGGCGATACATTCTATGGGAAATGTATAGGGATTATCTTACCTCATTATTCCTACTAACCACCAGTAAGCAAGGCTACTGCAGGGAAGCACGCACCAGGTCCTCCACCGTCTTTCTTTGTCAAGGCCCCAGCCACTAAGCCCGTAAAACCAGGAAAATTCAGATGATGTACCCCTTGTAGTAGTTTGCGTTTTCTTTTCCATTATCCCTAAATAACCCCCGTATATAACCTAAACCCTACAGTTTCATAAGGCTGGAGCCAACTGTTTCTGGACTGTGTGGTGGCCAACTCAAGAGCAAAGCCCACCTTTCAGCTGCGGGGGGGTTAGGGTTTAGGGTTATATAGGGGCTATATAGGGATATTGGAAAAGGAAATGGAAAATACCATTTAGGGTTTAGAGTTTAGGGTTTGGCTTCAGGTTGAATGCAGCCCCTTACAAAGGCCCCCTACAGGGATCTAAGAACTGGATCTTGTGGGAGCCTTTCTCTGGGATTGCTTATGAACTGCGAAGATTTCAAGAAATATTGAATATTAACTCGACAAAGTTCTACATGTCATCGTATCGTTCCCAGAATGATTCATGGGTCAAGCTTGAGGGCCTGATCATACAACAGAGTGTACTGATGAAGGGTTGCCATAGGGTCATTCTGGGGTCATTATGTTTGATTTTATGTGGGTAGGGTCTGTGCAAGGCTGGAGCGGATAAAGCTAGGACCACTTCAGAAGCGCTACCAAGGTCAGAAGGGCGACGGGGCCAACAACCAGGAGGATTCAAACCTCCAGCTAGAGAACCTCAGTCTAAAAATGTTCCAACCACGCGGCGCAAGTAAGGGCAGCCAACCAGGTCGACTGTGTAGTTTGGTTGGTGAATCTGAAGCCTGTTTAGTTTAGCCAGGCCTTCAGCACTTAAATCCCCTACGCTCCGCTGGATTGAGGTATCAAAGCATCCTGCGAAGGTGCGAAGTGGCGCCCCCCCTCGCTGTGGCTCACAGATGGCGTTGCGTGCAAGGGCTGAGAGAGCCCCGAACCCTGAATTTGTCGACGTTGAACCCTAGGTGTTCTCTTTCTGTAGTGTTGCCTCTTAATTACATGTTTTCAGAGACACTCTCCAACGCTGCTTCCCAGCTTTTTTAGTATCAAGGGGCGTTTGCCTGCAGAAGACATTTGTGGCACATATACACTTGCAATGCATAAGCCCATTTAGCTTCAAATGACCCATTGCCCTATGGGAAGCAGAACCGGAAGGTTTCCGCAACAAGTGCCCAGGCTGAATCTCTTGAGACTCAGAATCGCACAAGCCCTGCGCAACCCCAGTTTCCTGCAACAAGCATACCTATAGTCTTCAGGACATCTTCGGTCATGTAAAGAGTTCTTGGTAGACATTAATTGATTTCTTATCAAATCATCAACCAAGGAAGCCCCCAATCTTTAAGAACCCTGACTCCCCCAAGCAAGCACCTGCGCTAAACAATACCACGGATCCTTTGGTCCCTGAGGCCTCAACCCCGTGCACCTTCAATACAACACTCTATCCTGAACCCTTAACCCCACACCCCAAACCCTAGCCTGTAAACCGTATGCCCTGAAGTTCTATAGCCGCTTGGAGGGTCAGGGGTCTTTGTAATGAGGGAGTAATGGGAGAAAATGGGTCACTGAAGGGGTACAAGTATACGTCTTGGGTCTAATGATAACCCCCAGATAATAGGGATAGCCACTTAAACTGTAGGTAATCGGGGTTACAGGCAAACCCTACGCTTACTAGGGTCCCGCGGACACTCCACATGCAGTTATCGAAGGCCTGGAAGGGTCCAACGGACTCAGCTCCCAGGACGATGTCCTTCAAATTCTTGCGTATATGTTTATATACAGCCCTTAATAAGACCCCTAATGTAGACCGTTACAGGGTGGGGGCAGTACCTAAGGTATACGAGCTGCTGTCACTACTTCCTGCATTGTTTAATGGGTTTAGGGTCTAGAGTTTAGGGAGGGTTTCCTACACAATTCAATGGACATGGGTTCCTTATTTGCGACTATATCAGTTAGGGGCTATACTATACTTAGCTAGAACATGGACCCCTATGTCCACTGTTAAGGGCCCCTTAATAAGGCGAATACTGAGAGTAGACCATATAATACCATACTACACAAACATATATACATACATATGCATATATACGTGGGGCTCATGCAGTAATCATGTACAAGGGTTATATACAGGTTATGTGGGGTCTAAATTATTGTCACTATACGATATGAAGCCTTCTATGCATGACAGTTGAACTATATTTATACGTCGGGATGAACTATGGCTCTATGGCTCCACAGAGGAGTTATGCCGGAGTTCCAGGAAGGATTGTACAGCCCCTCGAACCTGTAGAGGATAAGGAGAAACAGCCGACCGAAGGGATACTGGGTTTGTGGTACAATATACTTACATGATAATAGGAACAATGGCTTTCATAATTGGGGTTTGTGGACGTTTTAAAGCTCTAGGGCTTGTAGAGCCTAGGGTTTTAGAGCTTGGTACTCGTACTTTGGGGCTGGATCTACTCTTTGTTTCAGGTCTGGATACTGCAGTGGTTTGGCCATGGTGATTCGCATCGCAAGCGTGGGAGCTAGTGTAGGAGCCGGCATCTTTGAGTGGATAGAAAATACGTATCTCCACCTAAATCACAGGAACAACACCCTACTCACTACACACATTTTCTCAAGGGTTGGATGGGCAGTTTTATTGAAATGGAATTCGGTGATGTCGAGATTCTGTTTCCCCCCCCCACCCCCCTTCCCTGTCTACTTAAGGAGGATTGGGGGGACCTGTATTGAACAGAATTTCTGCGAGCGTCTATGAAGTTTACATGAATGTGCTTCAAAATACAGATCCCTAGAAACGACCATCAGGTCAGGTAGGTTCCTTTGTTGGTTGGGCTTATGCGTTTGGAGCCATTTGTCACTGTTTCACCAGGACCCCCGCGCCCCTGCAGGGTTAGTGTTACTGACCGTGCTGAAGGGAAGTGGATCATACGGTCTATATCGAATAATGGCGAATCAGATGCTGATCCTCTGACCTCCAAGCTGGATTGAGGATCATCCCGGATCGAGAGGGCACCCAGAGGAAAACCCAAAAAATTGTTCTGATCTGAATCGTGGAAGACCAACCTTTTATACATTTTTATACGCTATATACATACACCTCCAGAGCCGAAATCCACCCCCCAGGCCCTAGTCTACTTATCTAGGCTCGCAAGCACCAGAACCGATGTCAGGTTCAAAAGGTCTCCTGGAGTCTTCAACAACGGCCACGTGAGACCACTCCACCACTCGAACCTGATCAATGCTAGTGTGGCCCAGCATTGAGTAGTACAGGGGTCTAAATGGTAGTTTCCCAAAATAGGGGGACCCCAATATAGACCCCAAAATACTATAGTCCTTATTATGGGGACCCCCAAAATGGTACCCCTAAGTTTAGGAACCAAATAAATAATTGCCAGTATCCTTTAAAAGGCCAACTCAATGTCCCCTAGGCTATCATTATACAAATTTAGAACCTAGACCCTCCACCTACCCTCTATTAGGGCCTAAGTACCTACTATTAGGGACCATATGTTCCCAATTAAGGGTACAAGGAGGGTCCTGGAACATATAATATTGGTAATTGGCAATTACTATGTCTTCTACAGTAGGGCTCAGGAGTAGCGGGTGGCTTGTGTTCCTTGTCTGACAGGCTCCAGAGACGATTTCAGAACTATTCCCAGAGGGTCCATATATACAACTATTAGGGAATTAGGCCCCAAAATACCATACTATAGAAGGAATTATGGGTCCCAATTCCCTAATGGTTGTATATGTGGACCCTCTGGGATTTTTTGCCCAAGAGTTACGGAAGCTCTGCCAAGTATGCCTTGTTGGCTTCAGACTCAGCCTGCACCTTGTCCAGAGAGGTCAGGGGTAGCCGAAAGAGTGGGTAATTCCCAAAAAATAGGGTCCCGGTTTGGTACCCCTAGATACTAGGCGCCGTAATGTGCTGCAATTACAACCACAATGGAACCCTAATTTTGCCCACACCCCCCCCCTATTTGCCCACAGCATCTTCATGTTACGCGCGCATCCAAGGTCATAGCATCCAAATAAATACTTCCACAGCTGCAAGATTACTGTTATTTACAGCGAA